TGTGATACCCACCAGTCAGGAAAGACACAAATCCACTTTCATTTCAAATTTCGTGCAACATAGACACCTAGAAAGAAGTGGGGCTTATAATAACGCCTTGCATAGCTATAGTGCCATCGACCTCAAATGTGTTTGGCAAACGTTAATGAATTAGGCCTCATAAAACCCCTGCATTGTTATTCTCCCCGGTACAGATTGAGTGACTTATTCAGGGTGGTACCAGAAAATTGGGGTCAGCCAGGAGCAGGACGCTGATAGCGCTGGTTTATGCTTTAGATAGCAGCTTGTATACTCAGCCATTTAGGAAACTGACCTGTGATTTGCTGTAAAGTACTGAAAATATATTTTAGAGTAGCAGCCTTGTTAGTCTGTATCAGCAAAAAGAACAGGAGTTCTTGTAGCATTTTAGAGACTAACAAATTTATTAGAGCATAAGCTTTCGTGGGCTACAGCCCACTTCATCGGACGCATAGAATGGAACATATAGTAATGTTGAAGTGATGAAGTGTTGAACTGATGAAGTGAGCTGTAGCTCACGAAAGCTCATGCTCAAATAAATTGGTTAGTCTCTAAGGTGCCACAAGTACTCCTTTTCTTTTTGCGAATACAGACTAACACGGCTGTTCCTCTGAAACCAGAGGTTGAAGTGTTCTCCTACTGGTTTTTGAATGTTATGATTCCTGATGTCAGATTTGTGTCCCGTTTATTCCTTTGCGTGGAGACTGTCCAGTTTGGCCAATGCACATGACAGAGGAGCATTGCTGGCACATGATGGCATATATCACATTGGTAGATGTGCAGGTGAACAAGCCCCTGATGGTGTGGCTAATGTGATTAGGTCCTGTGATGGTGTCCCCTGAATAGATATGTGGACAGAGTTGGCATCGGACTTTGTTGCAAGGATAGGTTCCTGGGTTAGTGTTTTTGTTGTATGGTGTGTGGTTGCTGGTGAGTATTTGCTTCAGGTTGGGGGGCTGTCTGTAAGCGAGGACTGGTCTGTCTCCCAAGATCTGTGAGAGTGAAGCGATCATCTTTCAGGATAGGTTGTAGATCTTTGATGATGCGCTGGAGGGGTTTTAGTTGGGGGCTGAAGGTGACGGCTAGTGGCGTTCTGTTATTTTCTTTGTTGGGCCTGTCCTGTAGTACGTGACTTCTGGGTACTCTTCTGGCTCTGTCAATCTGTTTTTTCACTTCAGCAGGTGGATATTGTAGATGGGAGCAGTGCAAATGTAATCCACTGGGGAGTGTGCATTACAAGTCCCCCTTTTTAGTGCTCCACAGAAGGATGTGAGTCTGCTACAGCTGGGGGATGGGGGAGTTGGCTGTAGTAGCTTTTGTGCTTTTTATTTTTTTAGCTCTGCAGGTCCCAGGTTCAATCCCTGGTGTGTTGGCCAAGAGGGCACCTGTCGCCCAAACTTCCCCCACCAATCTACTGTAACCTTTGGAGCAACCACCTCTAGGGTTGAGTGGGTAACTCACTGGCCATTCGGTCCTGGGTTTTCCTCCAAAAATTGCCAAGAATGGAGTCAGTTAGAATGGCAGTTGTGTTGTTAACTTGGTCACCTGTCCAGTCGGAGCCAGACCCATTTCACATGAGCGTCTGAACAGCTGTTAACCATCCTGAGTTTAATCTGATGTCTTAATGAAATTTTTACCCTGTTGCTTCAATTTTCTTTTATTCTTACAACATCCTACTAATTTTTCAAACACTGACAGGTATACACCTTGGTCTCATAACTAACCCACTCTGGGCACACACTTGTTACCTACTAATGCAAAACTGTAAGAGCTAGTACCAGTCCCCTGAGCCATACAATCAGCTTCCTTTAGCCTAACTCTTTTAATCCCACACTAGACTTATTTCCCTGTTCCCAGCAGCCCTGAATCGTGTTCCCAATTCTATCTTTACTTTCCAGCTCTTCAAGCAATAAATAGTGAGGATGGGTTTCAGAGGAACAGCCGTGTTAGTCTGTATTCGCAAAAAGAAAAGGAGGACTTGTGGCACCTTAGCGACTAACCAATTAGTGAGGAAGCAGCGGTATGTTGCTGCCTTCAAACTCCAGGCACCCCCTCCCTTTTGTAGTTAGAGAGGCCAGCTGGTGTTTCCCTCCTACCCATACTCCAGGGCAGTAACATATAGAGGGCCTGTCTAGACAAACGTGGCATTTTGAGGAGCATGTGTTGTGTTTTGGGGTCAATGGGCTGGAGGAATGTAACACACACACACATTCAGAACCAGCAAAAGCTGACTACGCACTTCCCAATTCCAGTAGCCAAAGCATCACAGGAAAACTTGCATTCCTCCTCCCTCTCGTTCTGGTGGGGAGAGGTTTCACATGGTGAGGTGCAAAGTGGATTAATGAGGAACCTGGCCATCTGGGACTCAGCAGGTACTTCCTGCCTTGCATTCCCATCCCCCATGCCAATGAAATAAAAGAGCAGGCCTATGGTCTGCTGCTTTGTACCCTTTCCCTTTGTGTGGGTGACTGGTCAGTAGCCCTAAGGTAAGACTAGGTAGGGGCTTGTTGAAAATCAGTGCCCTTGGTTAAGGGGATTGGGTGAATAGTTGCTTAGACTATGGCTCTCACTTTGAAAGTATTATTGCCTTCTTGCAAAGAAATTCTTCTGGTTCTGCTGTGGGTGTCTAGCTATATGTACTTCCTTAATAGTGAAATTAGTCCCTTAAGAGGGGTTGCTTTAATGTCAGCCTGGAGTGACTTGCAGGGCTTGACTGGCCTACAGGGTTCTGGGGTGCTCATTTCACAGCATGATTCCTATGCCAAATGGGTATAATAGCTAGTGGTTACCTTGCAGAGAAAATGAGGGGATCTAGTAAATAATTGTCATACTAGCATTGTCTTAGGCAGCTAGCCTAACTAATTGGCTGTATGTAGAAGGCTTGTTGAGGAGACCTGGGATAAGAAGAAGTTTAGGGTGGCAAGGCCTGCTTTTGAGAAGTGAAAGTTAATTGACAAACCTCTCTCTGATCTTGATTTCTCTTCCCCCTGCTGCCCCCACCCCCCGGGCCTGTATTCATGATCTGCTTGCTACTAGTGCATCTGAAAGTGGTGAGGGGAAGAAGCCATAAAAGCTGTCCTGGGAAAACAAGCTAAAGTCCTGCAACTGCTGTAGAAAACAGCTGAGTAACTGAGAAGAAGCAGCTAGGTATTGGGAATCCTTAGACTTTATCTTTCTCTTCTGTGCATGCCTCTTCTGGTGGCCCTGGCCCTTGCATGTACTAGCCTGCCCTCGCTTTGGAGGGGGCAGCTTTATCTTGCTTAGGACTGTGCATGGCAAGCTAAGTGTAGGCTTCCTCATACTGGTCCACTAGCTAACTCATGCCTAGTGTCCATGTCTAGAATGCTGTCCTATTGCGTGATCATGAGTTGCCTATGGCTGTAGCTAGGGATGGTTGACTCTCACCAGTGCTCGCCACCTAACTTTTTAGTAAAGCTTCATCACAGTTAGCCCCACAGCAAGTGTAGCATTAACTTGCCTAGAATGTCTTCCACTAGCTGTAGATGCTGTTTCAGCTCTAGCCTTGCTGTGCCTACAAGACACACTTTCACTTCTGCATTAGACTCCCATCACAAACCTCCAAGACAAAAATGCTGAGCCTGAGGTTGTTATGGGAGCTGTACTTATATACCTGCTGTAGACCTAGGAGCTGGTGGGTGCGTAGCATACTAAAGTAATTGTGCCTACAAAAAAACTAAGGGCACGTATCCCGGTGTGCATACACCACTGTTATGCACAAGTTTGTGTAGGTGTGGTAGAGTGGGCAGTGGCACCACGGCTTAGCCATGTTGAGTAGTAACTGGCCTGACCCCTGTGGGTGGGTAGCTAGCACAAGTATGTGTATGTGAGCTGGGAGGCTGTTGTGTGGATGTAGCCTAAAGGGTCTCTAATCTGGGCTCTGCCTCAGGCTTTGGAATGGGCACCCACTCGCCCTTCCTCAGCCCCTCTAGTGACTCTGCAGAGTGTTTACCTTGTGATGGTTCCACCACTGGAAGGTGGGTAGAAGCTGCTAAAGCTCTTAAAGTGGCTACTTGGCATAGACTCTTCTTCAGGGCTCCTCGATTTGACTTCCCTATCAAGCCTACATATTAACTGTAGCTGACAAGTTCTGATCTGCTAGCTGGGGTGCAGTGATATACTTGGCAAACTGTCCCACATACCTCTCCATAAGAATAAGGTGTCCATTCCTCCCAGTTTCTGTAACTGTGGGGAGGAATGCATATAGTATTTTTGGGGGTGCTTTTCTTTTTTTTTTTTTTTTGGACACTTCCTTCCTCTTTCATCCCCTCCAGAGCAGAGCTCTGTGAAATAGGTGATCTGGAGTAATGGAGGGCTGGAAAAAGAAGGCATCTCTCCACTCCTTGGGGTTTCTAATCTAACCCAGTACTTGCAGTCTGCACTGTTGCATCTTCTGAGGTCCCATCTAAACATGGCTTTAAGTAGTTGAGCGAACCCATTTAAAACAGGAACACACCTATTTAAGAGCTGGTATGTTAATACTCAACAAAAGACCATTGCCGCATCAATAAGCGTGTGGTGGGAGACTGAGGCTCTGGCCCTGGCTCTTGATTGATGTCAGAACTGACTAGTTAGAAGAAAACAAGCTCTTGGCTAGAATAGTATCTATCCAATCTTCTTCTTCTCTCCCCCCATGCCCCCTTGTTAAACAGGGGCTGTAGCTGAGATTAATTTGAAGAACTGCTTGATTTGAAACCAGCATAGGAAGGTCCTGGTTTAAAGTCCTAGTTGGAGAAGACTGTATGTGGTTATTTTTTCTTTAAGGGAGCAGGTAGCTATGGAAAACATTGCATAGCTTGACTAATAAACAGCAAGGACTAAATTGGCTCAACCTCTGGAGTGTCAGCCTTGCACAGGTTATTTAAGGTATTAGTTTAGTCTTCCATTAGCAGTTGGGCTAGTGGATCCCATGGGGACGTGGGCTACCAAAGTAGCTGCTACCTTAATTAGGGAGGACTGTAGACTAAAGCAACTACTGTATCTCCTAATTCTTCACAGCTGAGCTGCCATGATGAGATTGCCCATGATAAATCATGGAGCAGGACCGCCACATATGGATAAGTCTTCAGGGCAAGACACTACAATGGCTTCCCCAAGAAGGAGAAAAAGCACCATGAGAGTAACCCCATGCCCTGCCACTGCCTTAGTGACTGTTGCCAAAAGGCATAGATGGCAAATCATATTGGCTACAGTGACCTGCTTTCTCGCTTCTACCATTGCATGTAATGAAGGGTCTTCAGCTACTCCTTGTCAGAACCCTCTTGGCACTGTGGCTACAACTTTACCCTTGCAGCCTGACTTATTGCTATCCCAGAACGCTACTGGTGGCATCTTGATGAAACCCAACAAGTACTTACTGAACCACATTGTAAAAGGGCAAACTGACTTGCATGCTGCTGGGGAAAAGCAACGTGCTAGAAGCTTACGGGCAGACTCTGTAGGCACCACAGACCAGCTAAGCCTCCCAGAAGCCAAATGGAGTGACTTAAGCCAGATCTCTGCACTTGCATTCAAGCTTGATGGAAAAGGGAGCCTGCATTATAAATTGAGAGCTGCCAAGAAAGATAAGAATGGCATTGACTCTAAGACTCTGAGACTTGAAACTTCTCTGACTCTTGATGCGCTAGCCAAAACGACAGGGGAAAGCTTAGAAGAGAAGCCTAAGGGGCTACAGGCATCCTCTAAGGAGGACCTGACGTTCTCTCCACATGCATCTAAAGCTGTGGAAGTTGGCACAATGGACTCTAATTACCCTGCAATGGTACCTGGTACTCTGTCCCAAGCACAATCCCTTCTGATAGATGCAGACTTCTTGCAGTATGACTCATTGCACTCTGCTCCAAAGGCATCTGCACAGCCCCTAAAAGTTTCTCCAGATGCTGCCTCCATTGCTCAGTCAAGTTCAAACTCTGGCTTGAAGCAACAAGCTGCTGTAGACAGTCTCACTAGTGATGCATGGGGTCTGTATAAAATGACCCACTTTGCCACACTAATGGCTCCCAGCAATAGCCTAGATCAGAGAGCCACTAGAAGTAGTCCCACTAGTGTCTTGCCTAAATTCCTGGCCTCTGCACCTCCAACATATAGGGCTAGCAAAGAACTTTCCTACTTAATGTCACTGACCACAAGTCCTACTGTGCCAGCCAGCCCAGCTGTTCCCACCCAGGATAACTTAACCATGAGTACCAACTTCCCAGAGTCCACATCTCTGGAAGCAACTAACATTGGCCCTATAGAACTGATCACCAGTAGGTGGCCAGGTTCTTCCCCCATATCAACTGGTGTGGCTGCTCATGAACCTGTGGAGCCAGTGTGGCTTGGTACTGTCCCTGGGACACAGCCAGGGTCTCTGACACCATCTCCATCAGGAGAAAGTTTCTTGGATACATCCCCCAGTGTAACCATGCCCAACCAGGAACACCATCCCTCTGAACTATCTGATGTGACGAAATTCATGTTGAGCGCTCTTCCTGTTAGCATGTCACAACCCACTAACCTGCTCCCGGCCCCAGTATCTACAGCAAGACTGCCCTCTGCCAAACCAATGGCCAGTACCTCAGCTTCTGCACCACTGCATGTGGGTGACCTGAGCCACTTCACAGAGCACCCATCTCCTGGGCCCCTTACTGTTCCGGACACCTTAGCAGGCCACACTGAACAGGTAGAGACTGAGGAGCAGTTTACTGCAGCTGTACTGATGGCTGTCTCACCCACTCTTAGAGAGTCAATTAATTGGCCAACACTACCTGTACATGTCAGCACTACTGCACAGTCTCCTCCCCCATCTGGTGCTCCAGTCTCGCCACTAAAGGTAACTCTTCCTGGTGTGGTGCATGCAAGTTCAGTAGAAGTGTCATCTGGGTTTCCCTCACAGAGTGGTGTAGGGAGATCTATCCCTACCGCTCTGTCAGGACACAGTGGAACAAGGGCTCACATACCATCAGTTCCCAAGCCAGCCACTGCTGGGCTGGGCCAGCTGCTAGTTCTAACTACTAGTTTATCAGGATTATTAGACCTTCCAGCTGACCGTGACACTCCAAGCTCTCTGGTGCTGGAAGAGACCTTTCCTGAGGCCTCTTCAGAACAGACCATTGTCCCTGGAGTCCCTCATAGTCTAGTAACTAGCTCTAACATTCTCACTGTTGCAGTCAGTGATATGACTCAGCTGACTGGAGGTGTTACAGAGGGTCCCCCTTCAGTTGCAGCTGGAGTTGGCCTTTCCTCAGCCACACATCCCCTTGATCATCTCAAACTTGATGCAGAGATTGCCAGCACATCCTCTACAGAGAGAATCCTGCCAGTGGGACAGCTGGGTCATAGACTGAAAGAGCACACTACTGAAATGGCATGTACTGGTTCTGATTCCACTAGTTGTCCAACCTGGGTGTCTGACCTTAGTACAGCTGTGGAACAAAAGGGTTCTCCTAGCCTTATTATTACACATGCTCCTGCTAATCTAACAAGAGTTTCTCCCTCTCAAGAATCAATGAGAGGTGTCTCCTCCAAGCCAGACACTCCAGTTGCTGGTACCAGTCGGGCTTTGACCTACTCCACAGTCCTGGCTAGTGTGAAGCCTGTTGCAGGCTTCCTGCATGAAGACACTGCAGCCAATTCTCTATCCCATATGTTGCCTATTAGCAAGGGCCCTAGAAGTCAGTCCAGTACTTCTGCTTGCTGCCCTGAGAGATCCTCTAGTATCTCAAGAGCCAGTACAGCTACAAACATTACTAGTGCCACCCTCTACAGGGAATTATCTAAAACTGTGAAGTTCCTTGATAAAGAGCAGACTCCAGCGGCTGCTGAAGTAGTGGCTAAAATGCCTCCTGGCTCCTCAGAGCTCCCGCTGGAAGCTTCAAGTGATGCTCCAACTACAGAGCTGCTTTCCAGTTCAAGTTCAGCAAAGCCACAAGCTCAGCCAGCACGTAAGCATTACTCACTCCGTAGACCAGGAATGAGAAGAAGGCTGTCCACCCCAGCTGACTTGGTCTTATCCCACTCAACCACATCTCTGCCTAGTGGGACAGACATCCAGCCAGGGCCAAAGGTGCACACTTCTCCCCGGAATAAGACCTTCCCTTTGCTGCCCTCTAAAACAAGTAGCGATACAAGTGTCATAATGAAGACTGAGACAAACATCACCCATTCCACTCCCCTGTACCTAAACCGAACAGGGCTAACATTGCTTGGTGGCTCAACCCCTACTGGAATGGAACATACTCCAGTACCTAGAACAGCAGCTGGTGTCCCAGTAGCTTCCACTACAGCTGCATCAGAATGGAAGCCCACATCAGCAACTCTGGGAGAGCAAAAAGTCCCAGGTGTGTCTACAAAGGCAGCAAACTTCAGTGGGTTGGCCTCTACTGAGTCTCCAGTCAGTGTTATGGCACCTGCTGTTGGGTTGACAGACACTGCCGTGCTTGTGGAGAAGGCTACACCAGTCAAAAATAGAACAGCTGCTCCACTGCCTTCACCTCCAGAGCTAAGTACAACTACACTACTTACTAGTACAAACCTTACACAGTCTTTTGGGCCCAATGCTCCCATTCTCCAGCCCCTCGCTGAAGCCAAACCTAGTGTGGTGACTTCCCTTCGTAGTACCCCCAGCATTCTACCCACAACAAAGACAACGGCCCTGCTCACTAGTGCCAGACCTTCAACCACCCCTGGCCTGCAGCTTCCTACTGTACCAAAGACCACTAAGCTGATGCCTTGGAACAAAACCACTCTATCAACATTGCTTATACCTCCTACATCAACCTTGTCCACCCGCTTACTGCTAATCTCCCAACACAGTTCAACAGCTAAAACAGACCTCAGTGAATTAACTAGGACAATGGCTGCAAGAACGAACTTAACCACAGCTGCAGTGTCTGCCAAGCAGGTGGCTACAATCAAAACTGGCCTCATTTCAAAGCAGATCCTGCCTGAATCTGAGGTTCCAACACTGAGCTTCTCTCCTAGGGGAAAGACTGGGTCTGCAACTAGACCTACATCACCTTCACTGCAGTTGCCTGTGCATATCCTATCTCTGCAGTTCCGTCTTATTGGAATCGCTTACACAGAACTCCTGAAGAACAAGTCTTCTGATGGGTACAAGAAGCTGGAGAAGGAAGTGAAGTTAACTGTAAGTAGAACTCCTGAAAGTGTTGGAATTTAGAGAAGTCAGCCAGTCACTAGAGCTGAACTTGGCTCCTCTGGTTGCCAGGCTGCAACTGAGTAGCTACTTGTAGCTTGTTTTCAGCTCATGTCTATGAAGACTGCTCCCTTGAGGGAAAAGTCTGCCTAGCCCATAAGGATCCTAATACCCATCCACATCAGACTGGCATCTTTAATGAGTATCCAGTGCACATAATTCTACCACTGAATAGCCAAAAGGTTTTTAGGTTTTAGTCATGATCAACACTAGCCAGATGCAGACAAGCAGTCTATAAACAAGGGGCTTTGTTCTCCCAAATGTGCATAGACTTACCATGGACTGTGATAAAACAAATTCTTTGTTTCATGCATGGCAATGCTGAAATAGCATTTCCTATTAATCCTTCAGACCCATGTGGACTCTACCCTTCTCTCCCCCCCACTCACTCTGTGCTTATCGATTTAGTCTCTCTTGAATCTCTGCTTCACTTCCCAATCCAAGAACAACTAGTATTGATATCACTTCCTGGCTCTGCACAAACAAGTCCAGGTTCCTACAAGTCTGACCCCATTTCCAGTAAGCCTTATCTATTCATAGTGAAGTAGCTGTGAAAATGTGTCCTTAACCAGTGGCTTTTCTTGTTTCTAGCTAAACAAGATGTTATCCAGCTATGAGAACTTTCTCCAAGCAAACATTCTCCAGTTTTTGTGAGTATCTTACACAACATAAGTACTCCTCATGCTTAAGCTTTTAAATGTGCTGTGCATAGATTCCATCACTAGCTTATGTCTGTAAGCCATGCAGGGAAGAGGGTGAGCCTCGGGTGGGGCGTAACATTATAGGTCAAGGACTTCAGGTTGTCTTGCTTCCCTTCCCATCCAGATGGGATAACTTACCAAGTCACCCAACAGGAGCAGGTTGGGTACACATAGTGATAGCAAGCGTCTGTTTACTAGAGCAGACAGTAGGTGGCTATTGGCTGACGAATGCAGTGGGGTCTACCAAATTCACACTTTAAACTGGTGTTCCTTTGGAATAGCCTTTCTAAAGCTATGACTTGTGTTTGCACAGTACCTGATAGGATTGTATCATGCTACTAAAAGCTTCTAATCTAGCTATCTCCCTGGCCTCTCACAGGAACGGTTCCATCATTGTTGAGAGTGAGGTTTTATTCCAGAGAGATGGCCCTGCTCCCACAAACTCTGACCTCATCCGCACAGTTGTCACAGAAGTGGAAAGGAAAATGGACACCTTTTTTGACTGGAGAGTGGATGTCAAGTCTGTCCGGTCAAATGGTAAGCACTTGAGTGTCAGCAACACAATACGGTGCCCAGCAGCAGGGCAGAGCTCCCATTACCACTCCTCCCCATTGCCAGATGGCCACAGGAACAGTCAAGCCTGCCCTTCAATAACCAAGCCAGGTGGTGTGTGCCTCCCAGAGGTGGCTTCTGTAATCTCCATGGTCACTCAGTGACCCATCATAATTGGGTGATGGGGAGGGAAAGGGGTGTTGGCTCCCAATTAGATGCAAGCCATATATTTGGAGACTACTGTACCATGGTTCTTGATAACCATCCAGTGTCATGGGTAAACTGCATTTGCTGCAGTAGCAGTTATAGGGATGCTTTCACAGTATGCTGCACTTTCCTTCAAGGAAAATATCAGAGTTGCATACCCTTCTTAGGGTGCCTCCATCCCTGAGATGGAGCATGCCTCCTGCCACCTCAGATTTGTTGTTACCCCATGTGCTCTCCCCCTCTGGCCAAAAGTTTACCTTGCCACAACTTAAAATAGTGGATCTTCTAGTTTGGGCTTACGGCCTAAAGCCTGTGTACTACTTGAACATCATTGGACAGAGAAGGGGGAGGGTGGCAGGACACCAGGCCATTACTCTGTCTAGGCAATGTCACTGCCCTTCTGCCTCCCTCTTGTCTAGGTTTCAGCTTTGAGAATCTAGAACCAGAAAAGCTGTCTGTCTCATTCACTGCTCTGAGACTCGGCTCAATTGCAGCGTTCGGTGGGGTGAGCAGCCAGGGCTCTCTGGACCAACTAAACAATGTGGTATGGTAACTCTTATACTGAATCGCATGACAATGGAGCAGTGTCTCCCTTTATCTCTTGTAAGAGAAGAATGATCACCTCATGGTTAAGGCATGGGAATGTGGGCTCTTGTGTTCTGTTGGGTATGTCACTTGATATCTGCAAAGTGAGGATAATGCTTGACAATCTTGCAAGGCTGAGTGACTCACTAACTCTAGCAGAGGTCTTAGTGCCCTGCAAGTAGAGGCTAGTGAAGACCGTGACGCACAAATAACCATATGGCTGCACATAGTAAATAGACCACCAGAACTCCAATCTAGTTCCACTGGGGTGAAAGGAAAGAGCGGCTCAGCTGCATATCAAGGACTGCAAGGGACATGAAGAGATATTTAGGGAATGGAAATGGCCTAAATAACTGAATTAGGAATAAGGTTCCTGTTGAATTGTCACTTCAGTCTCCCCAACCCCTCTTCTGTTGAAGCTGGGAAACAAATTGTCCCCTTTCTTCTCTGTAGGTGGTTCAGTCTCTGGGGGCCCTATACAAAGTGAAGAACTTCACCTTTGTCAGACTCAGGTATGGACAACTCAAGAGGTGGTGATTCCTTTAAGAGCTCTAGACCTTATTTGGAAGCTATATACACAGAAGTAGCTACTTAGCAGTGTGGGGGAGCCAATGGGGAGCTCTGGGCAGTGCTAGGCTGAGTGCAAAGGAGCCAAATAGCCTTGGCTAGACTGCTTTAGGGCGCAGGTGGGGGTGGAGGATGGGGAAGAGACCCTCTTCTGGGGTGAAACTAATAACCATTCAGCAACTTCCAACTACTATTGACTACAGGAGAGGAGGCTTGAGACTCCCTGAATTGTAGGGTGTATAGCGACATTGCAATAAATCAAGCTACCCACAAGATGTCACTCATCTAATATTATCTCTCTACCAAATACTCCTTCCCTAAGGAAGAGGCAATCCTGGGAGCTCAATGACTTGCTTCTGTTGCCACTGTCTGTAAGCTAAATGCCTTCTTGATGCATGAGAGGGTGGAAGGAATGGAAGCAGCATAGTGAAGGCAAGAATCCAACACTACATATAATTTCCTTGCATTACGTACCTAGAACACTGAACATTCAGGATAGCAGGAGTCACTGCAAGTCCAGATTGAGACAAACATGTAGACCTGTGAGGTAGAAATCCAAGGTCTCAATGCTGTGGTGCTAACATTACTCGGGGGAGGGGAGGAGTACATCCTGTTCCTTCAATGAGAACTATCTTGTATCACAATGCAACATCCTGTGATGAAAGATCTCTCAAATGCCTGAAGCAGCATGTTGGGCACTGGACTCATTCTAGTTCTAGCACTGGCTCCAACCTAGTCAATAGCCTCTGGCTGTATTGAAATAAAAATCCCCCCTCCATGAATATAAAAGCCAATTAAAGGATGAGTAGGGGCAGGTATTAATCATCCAGTCTTAAATGCAACTGCTGTGAAATAGAGCCCTGCATGGGACTATTTTTTTTAGAAATCCTGCTCCTGCATTGTTTCATACATAGATTTTTATATATTTTTAAATCCCACTCCTACCTGCAAAAACCTTAAATCCTGCAAAAGGCAGATTTCCACCCCACCCTATGCTACTAAAAGTCCATTAATATATTAGAATATACACATGGAATTCAGACACCATTTTTATCACTAAAAGAATAAAGCAGATCTTAAACCATGTAAAATGCTTAACTCAAACAAAATGTAGGCTACTCCTCGGTAAACTGATGAGATATAGTGTTTTCCTGCAAATTACCAGAGTCTGGCGGGGGGGGGGGGGAGGGTGTTTTTGTGGTGGTATGGGCAGAATTGGGTGGCAAAAGTACATCTTATGAGCTCCTGCTATTAGGGCAGCAAGTCCTGGGGGATTGCAGTCCTGCTGCAGCGCTCTGTTGTGACTTCGTAGTCTGCAGAGACTATGATCTGAAATGAGTGACTCTACTGGGTGGCTGCAGTACTGTTGTAGTAACCAAATGAAATGTGGCGACGTGTGCTGGCAAGCCTCCAAACCCCTGCTGGCTTTTACCTTTGTGCCCTGCTAAAACTCTTCTCCCTTAGGGACATCAAAGGTGACCTGGAGATCAGTGGCAAAGCCTACATTGACACACATGCCCATGCTGATGTCAGCCAGGTTCTGGAAGCACTGAGGGGTCTTGTTAACTACTCTGTAGACTTGACAACTCTCTCTGTGGATGGTCAGTACCCTTCCCTCCAGCACTTCCTCTTGACTGGTAGAGGCCACTAAACACTTATCTAGCTTGAATCTCTCCTTCCAATTCCAGATTCAAGGCTTAGCTTGCAGGTCTTCCCCATTTCCTTCCTGATCAACAACAGGACAGTCAATGAGAAACTGCTGGATCACTCTTCTGTGGAACACCAGAACCTCACCAGGGACCTTGCTGATGTGGTAGGCCTACCAATTTCCAGCCAGTGACACCAGTGTACTCTGAGATCCTTCTGGGAATGGAGAGGAGACCTCATAGAATCCCTCTTGAGATCTTAAGGGCAGAAAGGAGGAATCTAGAAAGCCTTACTTCAAGGCTTTAGACTAATCCTAAATATAGGCCTTGGACTACCCCATCTGCTAGGAGAAGGAGCACTCTCAACTTGGAATAAAATGGTTACAGTGCTTTATCATAACTAGTGTCTCCAGAGGCTTGGAGCACCAGTAATCCCCCACCCGAGGCTCTCTAGTGAAACCAGGCTCTTGCGGGGGACAGTCTGCTCGCTCTTGTTGCTCACTTAAATGATCTCACAAATCAAACAACTTTGTAAAATTCCATCACAGCAAAAGCTTCAGCTGGAGGGTTGTGGTAGGGAAGGGGGAGTTGCAACTAAACTGCTTCTTACGGCTACGCTACTGGAGCATGCTACGCTTAATCAGACTTCGTAGCGTCTGAGCTTCAAAGCTCACTTGGCTTCCTAACGTGGTGTCCTATATGCGAGGCTCTAATAGAATTCCAGGCTCAGCCTAGAATATTGACATGGATTGAAGGCATCTGAGTTACTCCAGACAAGTGTGTCCTTGCTGGAGCTCCCACAACTTTAACTGGTGGGTGAAGCTAAGGGCTTGGCTACACTTGCAAGTTACAGGGCAATAAAGGAGCCCCAGGCACACTAGCTCACTACCCATCCACACTGGCAAGGCATGCAGAGCACTCTGACTCTGGCTACAGTGCTGCTGGTACTCCACCTCGGCAAGTGGAATAACCTTTTTGCTGTGCCCCGCTGGAGCACTGCAGTGCCCGTGTGGACGAGGGGTTGCATTACTGCGCTCTGATCAGCCTCTGGAAACATCCCCTAATCCCCTTAAGTGGCCACTCTTCTCATTGTCTTTTTGAATCACTGTAGGAATGAAGAAATGCCCTTTGAAAGCTCAGTTTCTGACAGCCAGCTGCTTATCTGCTCTGAGACAAAGCAACCATTACTGTGAAATGCTGTGTGTGAGAGGGAGGTAGCAGGGGGAGTGGTCTGATGCTGTCTGAACTTACAAGACAGCATGTTGACATGCGCTCAGCCCCCCAAAAACCCACTCTCCCCCCACATACACACAACCCACTCCACTCCCCACCCCCCATTTGAAAAGCCCATTGCAGTCACTTGCATTATGGGCAGCTATCCCAGCATGCACCACACCCAATGCCGCTGCAAATGTGGCCATGCCAGTGCGCTTGAAGCTGTCTGTGGACAGACTGCAGCGCTTTCCCTACTGTGCTCTACAAAGGCTGGTTTAACTCAAAGCGCTCTACGTTGGCGAGTGTAGCCATGCTCTAGCTCTTAAGCCTGGGTCTGACTCCTGCTGAGGAAAGAGTGGTCTGAATGGGGTTGAGCTGGAGACAGATGTTCTGAGTACCTTGCTGGCAGAGGCTTCACAATGGGACAAAATGCCTGTGGGAGGGGAACTGAATCAGTCTAACTCTGATCCACTCTTCCAGCTGATGCATTCCCTGAGGAAATACCAAGGCCTCCTGCAAGTGGTAATTCGAGACTTCCTGTGAGTAAACGCTCTGCTTCTGTGTAGGCTGGAAGGCCTCTTGTCTGCCTCCTACAAGGTTGTCTTCTGGGGCACCAAGGGATCAATGTATCTGTACTAGAATATATCACTACCCTAGTAGGGTTAGGAAGATGCCAGTTGAAAGTGCCTGACCAAAGCATTTGTCACATGTTTGTGTCTCAATCCATTATTGAGACTCCCACACTACAGTAATGGTGTTTCTGGATCCAAAAAGCATGCCTCCCTCTTCTACCTACTAAGTTTCCCACCAACTTCAATGAACCTCTGGCTAGAAGGTAACCATTCCCCATAAGAAGCAGTGGATCTTAATTCCCATGCTGCCTAGAGCCTGTGACAATTGGGAGTCTAAGACTGAATGATTCCAGGATGCAGCCCTGGGTTAAAAGCCATGGGTCTGGCTCAAGTCCAGACTGCCTGTGGCCCTCTGGGTGACTGCTACTGTGCCTCACTGGAATCTATTGCTCTCTCCACAGAAGTGGCTCCCTGATCTGTCATGGGGATGTTGTATTCCAGCACCCTGCCCCAGCCAGTACAGACGTTCTGCAGACTCTTGTTCTTTCAGTTGGTCCAGGTCACATGTTGGCTGGGTCAGGCTTTCAGGTGGACCCGTATTCTTTCACAGTGGCAGGTATGACTGCTTGGGGATCTAGCTGGAATACTAGACGTCTTCAGCATGGTGTTGGTCAAATTCTGAAGTCTTATCTAGCTGTTGTAACATAGCTGTAGAACAGACCTCCAGTCTGAAGCTCCCTGCTCAAAAGCACTAAACTTCAGGAGCAGAACCACAACCCCATGTTTGTGCTACTGCTTTACCTGGGGGGAAGCATCAATTATTTCTCTTCCCCTGCCACCCAAAACTAAGAGCTTGTCACGCTTCCTATGCCAATGGAGGCTCAAGAGCCCTGCATAAGGTGCAACTCTAAATTGTTGGCTATGGCAGCTGGCCACACCACTGCTTCAAACCGCCCACAGGGATTGGCTCCAAAGAACTACTGGCCTAATGTACCAGTTGAGACTCCTCTTCATTGGAGAAGAGAGAATGATACTAGACTGAGTGCCCGATGGAGGGCAGGAGACTGGGGGGAGGGTGTGAAGCTGAGTCAGCAGAGTAGAAACTACTCCCATAAGGGCTACATTCAAATAGCTTAGCTAAAAATAAAGCTGTGGTGATCACTAGATTGGGGGTGCTACTAAAAAGAATCTGACTTTCTTTGACAGGGCATAGCATAGTAGCTGTAGGACTAACTGTCTCTCTTGACTCTAGATGACCAACTGGAACCTCCCTTTGTGTATCCAAGTTTCCCTGGATATGCCATGGCAATTATTGTCATGTGTGGCCTTGTTCTAATTGCCATTCCCATTGTGGCTCTGCTGGTAAGGTGGTAGTAATACTTAGTAAGCATAGCCTCTGGCAGAAGGCACAATATCTGAACTTTCTGTCCAGTTTTTTTGTACTCTCTCCATTCACTTGCGGGTGACTGCTCCTGTAACCAGGGATCTACCAACAGACACTGGCTATTAACCCAAAAAACTCCTTGGCATCCAAACGGATGGGCTGTAACTTGCTCTTGAGCAACATAAGTGGAAACACTTGTATAAAATGTATTCTGGTCAACTTTGTCTCCTCCTGGATAACTTTCAAATAAGGAATGAGGCTAGCCTCAGATGTAGGAGCTCACCTAGCAGTAAAGCAGAGTTAATATGTACCACCAATTGCTCCATTTCCAGGTGGTAACTTTTTGCCTCTTGTACAAAAGTTATATGCTCAGACAGGCTTGTCCAGTAGCCTGGTCCACTGAGCCACTATGTGGGCTAGCCTACACAAGGGTGCATGCAGTTCAGAGCTCTCTATTCAGAGCAGCTGTCGGTCATTTCCTAGCAACTGGTTGTGCCTCTCACTAGCCTGTTAGCACAAATCTCTTCTCTCACTTATGGTGTAATTTTTTTCTGACTAGTACCTGAATTCTGGGCTATTTGGCTGGCACGACAAGGCTATAATTCAGGGTGGGAGAGACCATGAAGCAGGGACACAGACATTTGAACTGGATAATCAAGGATTCCGCTCTACCATTGAAGAGGCAAGTAACAACAACAGTCCGGGGATGGGGGCATGTTTCCTTACTTAAATTCCATGCCTAAGGTGAATACAGATTAGTATTCTGGGGCCTGGTAGCAATACTAAGGTGGCACAAACAAGGAGGTAACAGGTGGTCTAGGGATGCCAGTGTTGCTGCTTAATGGGCTTTCCTACCATGTCCTAGAGTGCAGCTTTGCAGATCTATTAATACCCTCACTCATACAATTATCTGAATCTTCCTTTCTCCACTGAAGAGACAACTACCAAATCCCCATGACTCCATACCTTTCTAATATTAAGATATTTGGTGATCCTTCCTTCCAAGCTGAGATCCAGCACTAGAGGGGGAGATGCAATGCTCCAGACAGCAAGCTGCTCCTTGCCTGGAGTAGGAATATGCTAGCATTGTGTGCTAATTCATTCCACATAATGCAGTGTTAGTCCTTTCCATATATGCCTTTCCCTAGGATAATGGAGCTCTCCCTCATGAGGTAGACTTGCCCCTCTGTAGCAAAAAGTCACTGAGTACAGGGTCCCAAAGGGAAGCCTCTTGGGGACAGGAGAAGATGCTATCTAGGACACAGGCAAATCTCTAGGGGTGTGACTTAAACTCTTTTTTTTCTTTTTAAACTGCAGGATGATGGCAGACATTCGTACACACCTACAAAACTCTCTGCCAGTGAGTGAAGATGCAATATACAAGTTCTTCCTCCTGGCTCATGGGCCTAAATCTCCAACCTGCTGTAGAAACAGGAAGATTCAAAGCACTGTCTCTGATAGGGGTGTCAGTATTCATGCTGCTTTCCAAATGTGAATGATTCTAAAATCGTTGGATGGAGCAAACTTTCTCAGCTGTATGAAATAACAATTTCATGTCTGCACCCTAAATAAACTCTATCTACACTATAGAACTAAAATAGTGGCCGCAACTGGGTTCATTTTTCCACATTCTGGAGGGAGGTGGCAGCACCAGGTGTAGCCTGGCTAACTTCTTGGCGGAAGAAATGACATCACCTCCCTCCTTGAAGAGCATCAGTGCTGTAGTAAAAGATTTCTGTGATGCTTAAATTGTGCACAGCTCTCTTGTTGAGGACTAGCTGCTCCTTCCAAGGGAACACGAGGAGGCAGACTTCTATCAACCTGAAATAACTCCTGGATGAAGGCCCTCTTGACCTAGCAAGAGTTCTGATTAGGTATTCAGTGTTAATGCCCCCAGCTCTCCCTGACTTAAGCAGAAATCCCCTATGAGATAGGGAAGTTTTATTGTAAGCATGCATTTGACTTAATGTTTTAAGTTATGTTTTAAACTGTCTCCTACTCGTATCATGGCTTGCTACTGAGTATCTGTAGCTACAGTGCCAAAACATTGTCTTCTGATGGTTGCTGTGACTAGGAGGCTTAAGATACCTGGTTTCTGTAACTCTGAACCAAGGGCAGTCTTGTGACTGCTTAAACTAGCTGAGCTCTTTGAGCAGGGAGGACATTTGTCCTAAGCTACAGAAGGACATCAGATCATCTCATTCCCAGACACTCTCGTAGAAGTACTAATGCAATCTCTAGGCAACTGCCTCTCAAACAGGCCCTTAATTGAGTTAAGATAAGGTCTCCCATCTCCGCTTCCTAGAAGTTTTTTGCTGTGGTTCAGACCTCCCTCCTTGGTCTGTCATTTCCTGCTTAGGCAAGTCCTCTGGAAGCTGTTAGCATCCTCCAGTGAGGATTCCTTCCTCCTCAGCTCCTTTCCAGGCTCCCCTTTTAACCAGAGGACACTCTTCCCTTAAGAGCATCCCTGACTTTTTCTCTAGAAGAGTAACTCTTCCATCTTGTAGGTCTGAGCAAAGACAGAAGATCCAGCCCAGATTTGCTTTCACCAGCCAGGTGGACTCCTGCCCAAGTTAGCTTATTTGGTGGCAGCATCCCAGGGATGTGGAAATAGCCTGTCAGTTTGAGTCACTATAAGGCCATGTCTCCTTAGCCAATATGTCCTTGAATGATAGGCACTTCCAACTTTCTGGGAAATGTCACCTGTCAAACTGAGGTGGCAGAAGCCAAAGCATGTTCTGAGGAAGCTGAGAATCTACTCTAGATTGGTGACCTAGACTAAGAAGGGTGCTATTCCAGTACTTGGGATGCTTTCACTCTTAAGCACCATGTACTTAAAGAATCTTCTCTTGTGCTCTTCAGAGAAACAGCTGGATTACCTGGGTAATGGGGCAGTTACTTCTGCATCATGGACGACTTGCATTTCAAACTCTCAGCAAGTCTGCATTTCTGAGAAACTACTGGTCTAAACATAATTATACAGAATAATGTGTTCCTTAGAAACTGACTCCTATTGTAGTCCTCAATCTCCATCAGGTTTGTTCATGGGTTTTTTTGGGGGGAGAGGGGGAAGAGTAGCAAACAGTATGAGGCTGAATGTAGTAGGGTGACAGTCCACTCCTATTCAAAGTGCCTGCTGCTGACATAGCTTTCCCTGCCAACAGCAGATATTTTTTCCCCTCACAGCAAACTGATTTAACTTGTGCCCCTTTTTTATATGCGTTTCTCAGCTGTGGCAATCATTTCAGTGAATGTGTACTGTGTGTGATTCTGAATAAATGGTCTAAGAATATACCCTGTTGGCATGTGCTTATTGAGAGGCCGGGGGGGGGGGGTAAGGGTAGCCCAGAGCTGACCATCTAACAGTCTTCCAGATTCAGCCCTTAGCTAAAGGAGGCTTTATTAGCAGTGCTGTCTCCTTCCACAGAATCCTCTGCTCCCCACCATGGCAATACACCCACCCCATACTACAGCAGAGGGGGCTGAAAGGAGCTTTGCAGCTAGACAGTCTATATTCCTCCTTTAGCCAAGAATATCAAGCTCGGCAAAGCATTTGCTGTTGGGCAAATCTTTAGCTGACTATGGACCTTTGCAGGGAAAACTTGTGGCACTGGGAGTCTCCAGTATTCCTGCTGACAAGTAGTTTAAGATGTCAGCACTTGAACAGACAAGTTCCCTAAACCTTCTGGGGCACATCTAAGGCTTATTGTAGTTTCACAGAGGAAACATCTAGCCAAGCAGCTCTAAAGATGCCCCTTCAGCAGGAAGGGGATGGTGGACAATACACCAACTTTCCTCAGAGCTAGAGGAAATCTGGACCCTCCTAGACCTGGTTATGAATCACAACCATGGCTGGCTAGGTTCTGCCTGTTTCCCAGTAAAGCAGTGCTGCTCAGCTGGCCTTGTTTAAGGATGGCAGTCTAGTCTGAGCTGACACTTCCCTGGAACAGCCAGAGATCCAGGTGTGTTATACAGTGACTCCTCCTCCTAAGATCAGCATGGAACTACATTTTTGCAGTATGTACAGGAAGCAAGCTTGGAGGGCACCAGCTATAGCTGACTGCTGCAAGTGCAGTCAGCTGGGGCATTGAGGGGGGTGGAAAGAGTCAGTGCCACCAGTGGGGCTGGCTGGGGAAATCTGGCACTGTTCAGGGCAGGCAGCAGGGGCCACACAGGGAGGCAGCTGGGAGCTGACAGCACCAAGAGGAGCCTGGTGCCATGCATGAAGCCTGCTGGGTGGCTGTGGCCTGCAAGGGAGTACTCTAGCCTGGGTCCCAGAGTCCATTCCTGCCGTCTCTGGAGCAGATCCAGTTTGCAGAGGGGAACTATTGGGATGTTGCAGGGCTGGGGAAATGGGGAGCTCCCTGGAACAGAGAAATCTATCGCCCATCTTTGCTTAGATCATCATTCTCTCTGCCAGGCGCATGCTTTCTCAGGCTCTCCTGTCCAACAGGCTGTACTGGGCTTAGCATGGCTGTATAATGTTACTGGCATGTGCCTACCTATGTTGTCCTTACCAGAGCTTATGGCCAAGGGCACAGTCTTGCTCTTGCTTCATTCTCCTGAGCAGTAGCAGTATCTTCAGAGCACGAGGCGAGCCTGGAGGGTATTCTGTTGCCAAACTGCTCCGGTGCCAAGGCCACAAACCTTCCCAAAGGGGAAGGTTGTCTCAATGCCTAGACGCCTCTTCCCTCTATCTCTCCCTTCCCTGTGCTGCATAGTAACCCGGGTGTCGCCTCCCGCACCCTGTGAGAGTGCCCTGGCCCTTCCCACCCAGCCACAGGCAGGCCCCACTGGATGTGCTTCTGACATGCAGGCAGGGCCAGATTTATACCTTATGCGTCCCTAGGCACAGCATCTTCCGTGCCCAGCCCAGAGAAGGCTAAGCCTTCCTTGGTGCAGCTGCTGCCGACCCGCTGCCATGACACCTGGGCTGTGTTGGCCCTGCCCCTTCCCCAAGGCCTCCACTGCTACCTGCTGCTGCCTGCCGGTAAGTCCACCACTCCCCCTCCAGAAATCCCCACTGCTCACCGTGTTCCCCCCGCTTGGGATGGGGAGTGAGGAGGGACGTGGTGGGCGGGAGGGGCTACCTGGCAGGGGAGTAAGGTGGCTTGGCCAGGTGCTGGGGCCGGCTGCCTGGTGCTGGGGAGGTGGGTGGCATCAAATAAGGGTTTTCTTAGTTTATTAAACAATGTGCTGAGATGGCTCATGAGCTCTTGGCATGTCCCCCTCCAGCTGCTGGTGTCCTGTAGGGAAGAGTGCCCAGTCAGAGAAGGCAAGACAGCTAATGGGATCAAAGGGGAGAGCAGCTGCTGACAGGAAGCTAGGCTGCAGGGCACCAGCTATAGCTGGCTGCTGCACAGGGAGCCAGCCGGGGTGGGGGAAGAGTCTGATGCTACCAGTGGGACTGGCTGGGGGAATCTGGAGCTGGTTGCAGGGGGAGCCCAATGCTACACACGGAGGCAGCTGGGGGATCCTGGGGCTGTGTGTGAAGCCTGCTGTGGGGCTTTGCTTAGTTTGTCATCCTCTCTCCCAGCCACACGCTTTCTCAGGCTCTCTTGCTTTAATGGTTCTGTCCAACAGGCCGTGCTGGGCCAGATTGTCACCACAACCAAAGCTCCCCAACTGGCCTTGGCCTCACTATGCCTAGTAGAGAGAGAAATGGTGGATAGGGTGC